TCGGCAGCACCGGCCGCCTTTGGTTTCCCTGCCTCTCCTGCCGCCCTAAATCTTCCGCTGGAGCAGCGCCCGTCACGGCCGCTCGCCCGGTGCGCAGCCGCTCAGCTCGGGGCGAACGGGCTCCCCACAGTCGCCGGTGCGGCCTTTGTCACCCGGTGACCGCCGAACCGCCGAACCGCCAGCGGCAAGCACCACACATGGGGTTTGGCTGCCCTTTTCCAGCTCCCCCAGGTACCTGTAAGGGCCGCAGCAGCAGTCATCCCGTTGTCCGAACGGTCAATACATCAAACGGATGTAGGTCAATAGTCACACACCCGGGAGAGCCGTTGCTTACTGATTTTAGGATTGCGTGAGCCTAGGTGCTCGGTGGTTTCCCACAAATCAGGCATACCAACGGGTCTTTTTGTGCTATATTTATACACAAAACTTGCAGAGCTAGTAATTTTCCGAGTCTGTCCTCTCTATGACAGTTGTTTGGTAATTTACATACAATTATAATACTGCTGACAATACTTCACTTGGGCGAGGGTCTTCTTCACCTATAGGCGTGATTTTTAGTATTATAATGAGGATAGTTCAGCTAAGGATACATGGACCTTGAGTTTGTTTGCCAAGTTGGCAATATATCCTCTTCAAGGTCTAACTGTTCCAGGATGTCCTTGCTCAAAGAAGTCTGTCCCCTTGTTCTTTTGATTAGGGATGCTTTTGCCTTTAACATATACAAAACACATCTTTCTTGACTTAAGCATAATATTTCTACATTGTTCTAAAAGTTTAACCTTCAATAATACTGCTCCAGTTCTGGTACCCAAGTGCTGAGCTGTGCCCAGCAGCGCCACAGCCACCACCAGCGTTTAGCGTTCCCAACGCTTTGCCATTTGGACAGGACATTCTGAGCGCTGTCACGGCCGGTATTTCTGACCGGCCTGCAGCCTCAGATATGATTGCTGGATCTATGTATAAAGAGGAAAAATAAAAATCAATCTAAGCAACAAGGGGTATTCCAGTCACACCAGGCATGGCTCCAGACATGGGTTCATGTAGCTACCCTAGCAGCTGGAAGGAAATGTAACAGTGCCATGAACCATGAACCATGCCCCCAGCCTCAGGTGAGATCAACCCAGACAGATGGAAGCTCTTTCAGATCTTTGCCTGTCATGCTTTACTGGCTGGCTGTCTTTTATATTTACATAATCTGCCTGTTCAACTGCTGTGGTTGTTCAGTTGTGCATTTGTATAACTATATATGCAGTGTTCTCCAATTAATTTATTTTTCCAGTGTTACCAGTAGAAGGGTTTTGCCCAGTGCAAAATCTTGTAGTTTGAGCTGGATAAACCTTCTTTGCAAAAAGTTCAAGAAACAGGATTTCTTTGCATTGTTCATTAGGCAAGCTATACCCCAAAAGATTCATAAATGCAGTTTATATCTTGAGGCAGACACAGGTCATTTGCATTTGCTGGTCTTCGTTTCTTTTTTGTTGTATGATTGAAAGGCTAGAAAATATGTGTAGCAATGGAGTGATTTGATCCACAATTACAATTTTATTTGTATGAAAAGAAACTAGTTTCTGCTAGTTTCTATAACACAGCTATAAAAAGAGTAAAACTTTAGTGGGAACCTAATATGCTTCAAAAATAGGATAGTCAGAGAATGATGCTGTCTAGCCCTTCTACGTAGTTTCTGCAATACAAAGAATGCTTTCAGATCCTAGTTACTAATTCCTCTTGCTTCTTCATCTGTGTCTTATTTTAGTATTTTATAACTCTTTCTATCAGTTCCTTTTCTCACTCGACTTAAGCTCAGGCTTTGAGTTTTAGCTTATATTGCTGGAGTGTACTATGCAAGACCATGGTTTGAATTCCTGTTCATGTTCAGGCACATCAGTCAGCATCTTGATTTGCTTTAGTTTAGCATCTCCTATGCATGTTGAGTCTCTGCTGGGAGAAAAAATCTTTCTGCCTGTATAGAGCAATTGCAATTAAAGTGTTCAAGTAAACATACCTATATCTTAGGGCAGATTTGAGATTTTTTTTCAGGACAGGATTCTCGTCTTTTTGCTCCAGGGAGATAATTTACCTGTCATCCTGCTCCCTTCTTCAGATGTGCAAAAAAGATTTGTGGAGATGCAGCATGGAGGAGGAAGAATTTATTTTAATTCAAAGTTTAGCTTTTAGTTTAGATTTATTTTTCTAGTGAAAATGGGCAAACATTGCATATATTTCCTTAGATGCTACCTAAAGTTTTAGGATGTTGAGGGGAAAGGTTATATAGGTATTGAAAGTACAAGAAGGAAAAACAAGGCACAAAAATTACTTTTCTTAGTGTTTGAAGTTAACAGACTTGGTTGCATTTAATAGCATATTGGACAGATTACACAAAATTCACCCACTCCTACCAGTAACAACATCCCACAGCTTGTAAAAACACATTCTGCTTTGTAGTAAGTTTTCAATATTCTGCAAGTTGTATTAGGAAGACAACACTGCCTAAGTCCACCCTTCCAAACACACATTTAGGTTCAATCTATATGGGGATGGCAGCATTGCAATACTGCATTTTTAGGCAAACAACCAGTGAAGATAAGCCTCAGGGCTGCATTACCTAAGAAGGCTCCCCCCCAGCTGCCTCCCTGCTCACAGGGAGGTCGGAGTGAGTACAGCACATCCATACTGCAAGCACACTATGATGCAGGGATTCTCAGGCTGGGGGCAGCCTCACATCCACTAAACCAGTATTGTATGGTGCAATAATGCACAAATATACCAGCTCAGACTTGAAACTACTTTCTACGTGTATTTGCATAGTGCTACACTTAGCTAAAGCTTTTTTTCTCTAAGGGACTTTTTTCTGTTGGGGCAAAGTCTTGGATGTAGCATTCCTACTTTCCAGGGTACCAAGCCACTAAGCTGATCTGTTTGTAGAATTTGAATATCTGGTTTAATGGGATTGTTTCTCTTTGTATAGTTTCTCTAGAAAAATGGCTAAGTAGCAGATCATTAGCTAAAGCAAGACAGTTTCTTTTCTGACACTGTCCTGCATGGGGTCCAACAGGGAAGGTGCCCACTCAGGGGTGGACTCTGGTGGGACACCAACCCAGAAGCTCTACTCTGAAACTGGACCGTGAACTGCTCAAAACATAGAATCACAGAGCTAGACAAAACCGAGGCTCTCAGATACTTGTTTTAGGAACCAGGCAAATCCCGGCTACATGATTTCCTTTGGAGGAATTTAGCTGTTGCATTGCTATTATACATAAGTTTTCTTCTTTAGTCTTTCTGACTTCAGAATATCCTTAAAGACACAGGGGAACCTTCAGGAGGTTAATTGTTTTCTTCTGCTGAATCTGTAGGAACTTGTAAATTAAACTGGTTGAACACCAATTATTAGTCATCATTGCCATAGGACATTGTTTTTTATTGTATGCTGTAAAAACAATGAAATAAAGATAATAATTCTAATCACTTTTACGACGTTTATCAAATCGTTCCAGTAAAGCCTTCCATATGCTGCCTGGGATTGTTTGGTGCTTGCTTATGAGAGCCTGGACGGCAGTCTTTGTCTGAAAAGAGAAGAGAAAGTTTCCCTTACAGACCTGCTTATGCAAGGAAGAACAGTATAATCACTGACCTCTCAAAGCTTCAAGAGGTATTAGGAAATTGATATATAAGCTCCACTTTAAAATTAAAGTAGTCTTTTGTATTAGCTAGTTGTCCTATCAACACTTTCCTTGGAGAGGAAAGGAATAAAAACATGGATTGCAGTTTAGATAGGCTCAAATTATTGAGATTTATCAAACCTGGACATTAATAAGTCAAAGTAGCCTTTAGCACATGCAAATATTAAGTTTGTGTGATCTCTGTCCCTGAAGGTTTTCATCAAAAGCACTGGATAAAGCCCAAGTAACCTTATCTATCTCATCTGGTCCTGACCTTGCTGGGACCAGGAATTTAGAGTAGAGACCTCCATCTAGTCCTTCCCAACAGGAATTCTTCCATAATTGTATAATATACAGCATGCACTTAAGAATATTCATATCTAAATGCTGTTAATTTTTACTTTACATGAGATTCAAATGCAGGTTTGTGAAGAGAATGCATAAAACATCTGTATTTCTACTAGGGATAAGAAATAATCTCCCTTAGTTTTTCCTCATGTACTTAAGCTTGAAATAAGGGTAGCTACATACTCCTGTCATCTACCCCAAAATGATGATAGAATATCACTGGGAATATAAGAAAAGAGTAGCCAAACCTTTCTTGACAGATTCATATCCTGACTCCCAGGGCAGGATTAGATAGAGGTCAGCCAGGCCACTGCTCATCTCAAACCCCATTCAAGTTGTTTGGGGTTTTAACTAATATGAGCCACAGAAGACCTAACCATACTCCCACTGAAGTGGCTGGTCAAAGGCCTGACTTAGTAAAGCAAATCAATGTCATGGGAAATTTCAATTTCAGTTTTGCAGGTACAAAAGATACTGTTCTCCCAAGATACAAGAATACGGATAACCATAAGGGCAGTTTTAGCACTAATACTGCTTCCAGCCTCCTAAAACCTGCTAAGACTAAACTCCACAGCTTGCTGGAGCAGTTCCCTTGTGACAGACCAAACCTGTCTTTCTGGTCCCACTGCTGTGAAATCCAGAACAATCTTCAGTAGATCCTTAAAAAAGGGGGTGAGGGGGTGGGGGGGTGGAGAGAATAAAAAGAAAGAAGAGCTAGCCTTCTTGCATCTTTTGGGGGGCAGCAAGGTGTTTTTTACATCAGTGATTCCCAACTGGTTTGATCTGTGTATTCCTAGGCCACAACAGATTTTTTTTTCTCCATAAGGCCCTCCTTTCATCTTCTATGAAAAATTTTCAAAAGTGTATTTTCTGTATAGATTAGTATTTTGAGAAATGTCTAAACCCTGGATCGATAAACAATTTTATGCTCCTGAGCACACCTGATTTCCCTAAATTGTAGGTACTAAAAATATTTTTATATTTTGGATGCAAATTATTTTTTTTATATTTTCTTTTTGACAATAAGACTGAAGCTCTTGTGGAATTTTGTTTCTAGAGACCTATGTTATTTAGAGAAGATTCTCAAAGGTATTTATTATACATGAAATTTATTTTCCGAATTACTGAAAACTGAACTTAAAACATAGTTTCCAAAATTTCAGTTATCAAAGGCATGGGAGAAACAAAGTTAGCATCCCAAGAAGACAGAGCTCACATATTCTTAAAGGATGAGGGCATCCCAATCAACTATTACTATGTCAATACTTACTTGTAGGTATTCCTACATTAAATAATCCTGGAGCTCAACTGTCCATTGCTTTAACAAGCCTGTAAAAGTGTATTTGTCTTTATCCAAACACACAAAAAACTAGTTTCATGTGCATATATAATAGAAAGTGAAGTATGTAGTTCAATATTGCAAGGAGAGCTAACTTACCTTTTCAACTAATTCCTCTGCAGTTATATTTGGATCATAAGGGATTGGCTCCCCAATGTATGTGCGAAATTTTACTGGAAGTCCTCCATACGGAGGAGTAAATGGCAATCGAGTACTTTCATATAACTGTCTAAAAAATCCTGAAATAGTTTGAAGGAGGAAAAAATGAGATTATAGTCACAGAAAACATAATCCAAACTTAAAATATGATTAATATGGAAGACTTTAAAATGCATCCTTTATCTGACAGTCAAGAAGAAATGACAGGATTTAGGTAACGTCCACTACAACAAAGCTTAATAATAGATCACTGAAATAAGACTGCATTAAAGAACCAAATCACACAGCACAAGACAGTGAACACACAAGCCATTTCCATATCTGAGATACCTCTGACCCACAGCAAGCATGTTAGAGAATCCAAAGTAAGCAGAAGTCTGAAAAGCAAAATCTAAGAGGAAAGTGAGAGAAATCTGAGAGAAGAGTGGAGAAAACACTACAAATACTTAAAATATATTTTAAAGTTCTTACTTCTTTCTTTAAACATCCTATATCCTTCCCGGACATTTTGAGTATACATTGGAATGATGGGCTACGGAATCATAAAAAAACAAAAAGGTAGAAATGTTATAACAGGTTTGAGTTTATGCTTTAGTGACTGTTAATGCAGATACTGATAAGGAAATCACTTGAATATAGAGGATAATTATCAGTTCAGTAGAAAACAAGGAATCTTGTTATAAAAAATAAACTTCAGAATAGCAGTAAAACTCTGTTTCTCAAGTGCCACAAACATTGCTGATTTAAAGTCACCATCTGCAAGGAAAATGACTGACATTGTATTAGAGGTTTATACCTTTCATTTTGAATGTACATTATAAAAGTTAACTGAGATTCTAAAAAAAAAAAATCCAACTTGTATATTATATATTCATTGCAATATTGCTGCCTGACACATGAAGTTTTGCAGTTTCTCTGTCTAAATCTTACATCACGTGTGGTGAACAGAAAAGTATTCAGTTAGTGAAGTCTTGCAGAAAACAAGTAGACATTCACATCTGGCTCATCTCATCTGTTTCTCAAAATAAGGTCTCGCTGAAGTGGTAATGTTTGGGTAATACCTCACTGGAAAAAACTGCAGATCCCTTGGACAAATAAAGCAATTGTATGTCCTCACTGACCTGGACTACACACCTTCTGGAGGGCAGATCCTTAGGCTGTTACAGAACAAGTTCACTTCATTATTGCGACTAAAAAGAAAAATACTTGAGATACCTGACCTTGAAACAGTCATGTTGTACAGCCTGAGGTAAGATTTCAGTTTGCAGACAAACATACACTGACTTTTTTCCCTTCTACTGTCCCTTTTCTTTTTTTTTGAAATTATATTTTGAGCCTGTTGTTGGAGTTACTTGTCCACAAGGTAACAACAGAACACTTTTATGCTGTTAAGAGTCACAGAACAGAAACCACAGGATGAGAAAAAAACAAGCAAGAACCCAACCTAACTAGAGCCTAAGAAAGAACTCAAAGTGATGGAAACCATTTAAAGGAAAGACACCCTGACAGATAATGAAAATATCAAACACATAAAGTTGTAATAGTAAACCCTTCAGAATGAGAAATTTTTGGAAATTATTAGAAATAAAAAGTAATTAGTAACATTTTTTAAAAGCATATAACAAAATACCACACATCTTCAGCTACTGATTGAATACTATATGTCATTTCAAATGTTTGAAACCCGCCTATCATAGGGACAAAACACTTTAGGAATGGTGCAAGAAAAACATATCTAAGCCTATAAAGAAATCTGGCAATTACAAAAGTTACGCATATACAATGGTCAGCCAATGAAGTAGGGAGTGGGTAGCAGCCTTCAGTCCCTAAGCTGATAAAAATGGGTACACACATAAAAGCTTGCATCCGTAAAGCAGCACAATCAGAGCTGCAGTAACCCACAGATTGAGATTTGCTGTGCCAGAACTGAGCTGGATCACACCCAGTCAGCTTAAAAAGTCACAGAATCACAGGATAGTTGAGGTTAGAAGGGGTGTCTGGAGATCATCTAGTCCAAACCCCTTGCAGATATGTAAGAATTTTATAAACCGTAGTCTCTGTTTATCTTTTACCTAACTAGAACCAATTTTTCAGCACAGGTAAAATGCAGCGATCTTCAAAAACAATGATCCTTCCCCATTAGCCTGTCAAACTCCAGACATAGGCAGAGGGTATTTCTGAAGCTCAGGTCCATGGCGCAGATAAATTCAACTGAAACAAATATATGTCCCAGAAGTTCATTGTGTCAGAACATTAAATAGTAACACTCTCCTTCTCTGACCCCAAGTAAGCAGAGTAGCTATACAAGATTAAATGCAAACTGAGTATCAAAACCTTCAGGCAAGGACAGAGGAAAACTATATTCCTTGTTTGCTTTTCTTCAATTTTTTCAGTGGAAGAACCGTTGAACTTCCATAACGTTATAAGAAGAGTGGGAATGTCTATTCATATATAAAGCTCTTTTTGCCTTGAAATCCCTGTTGAAATCATCTGTGACAGGTTATGAACCACCATGTAATCATTTTGAATACTGTAAAGTGTGTGTGATTCATTATTTGATGGCTACACTGTATGTAGAATAAATTCAAAAAAGGCACACATAGATCTATCTTGCCTTCATCCAGGATGCAAATAAGTATTAGCAAAATGTATATGAATTGCTATGTTATAGAGCAAGTTCTGACAGTTTAGATGAGTGTACCCTCAGTCTTCAGCCAACCGACAAGGCCGGTTTGGCCAGTATTGAAAAGGATGCAGCAAGAACACACATAAACAAGCAAAGTGCAAATCTGTAAAAAGATGGAATCCAGTTACTGCTATAGGCCTAACTGTATATAAGAAATGGTATATAAGGTTAATATTGCCCCCTCTACTGTTAAATGCACAGCACTTGTTTTTTAAGTGTTTAGTTACCTAACGTGTGCCTGATCACAGATTTCCAGACAAATACCAAAGATGCCCAAAATTCAGTGGAACCTGTGAGCTCATTACAGTGATGCCCACTATACCGGGATCCTGTCAGACTTCCTGATCATAAAAAACCCACCAAAACTGAATGACTGCAATAATAAGTGATAGAAGAGCCAGCAACACTGTAAAGGTGAGTTCAGGCTAGTAGGTGTCAAAGGAGAAAATACTGTTTCTGTCCTCAAGGTAGCAGATAATCCTATGTAGTGTCTGTTTTACCAAACATTTATACAAATGCCCACAAAAACCTTTCACATTGCAAGAACCTTATCCTCAATGGATACCCAATTCATTAAATAAAAAGCCCACAAACCCTGTCAATAGAAGGCGATAGCAATTTTAGGTACCACTATTCAGCTATATCTGTATGCTTCTAAATTATGGAAGGATTAAGAGGATTACTAGCAGATTTTCATGATGTGTTTTGATCAAGGTGGCACTTTCTATTATGAACAAACAGTTTTTCAATTCAATTTTTATTTAAAAAAAAACCCAACTTATTACATTGTAGAATTACACTCTAAAGTTCCAAGTGAAGTGAAAACATCTGGCAAAAGATTGTTCAAATGTTTGAAGTAGCTTGAAAGACGGGTATGAAAGCAAAATTATTAGAAATTGCTCAGGTTGTTAAAGTGACACCTCTTTCTGGCTGTTTGAATATATTATTAAATTAATATATAAGAGGAAAGAGTATTCAAAATGCCCATATGAATTCAACTGCGTTTATCCTACTCACATTCTGATTATTTTCCCAGTAGTGGTGATGTACAGGCCCACACAATATATGAAGTATTGTGACTAACATCTACCAGCCCATGCTTTTGAGAAAAAGGACAGGAGAGGGAACAGAAGCACATAACTTTTAAAAGGCCACATAACAAAGCAAACAAAGAGAAATAGGACTCCCAGACTAAAATGACTTCATCTATTGAGTAAATTCCCCTAAATTTATTCTAGTGTTTAGTTATCTCCCCACAATATTTCAGAGATAGATAAAGTTATGAAGAAATATTAACCCGAAGCATGCATTTTGGAACCCTAGGTACTTCACAGTAAGAGCTATAGCACAAGAGACCAAAGCGGAGTCTGAGAAGCAACAAATTAGATGGGATGAGAAAGAGACAGAACTGCACAAAAGCCTGAAAGGGGTGGTAAGAAATTCAAGCTTCATGGGAAGAACTCAACTCCCTGTACAGATTCTCCTATAGAGACAGAAAAGGATCACGTTTATATGGAAGGCCAGAGAAGAGCACTGCAATTGATGAGATATTCATAAGAATTTAAAGAAAAATGATGGATGGTTGTGTAATTCATGCGAAAGCAACAGAAAGCTTATGGCAGAACAGATGAACACATGAAGCCTGGATGCGTACCAGTATTGTCAGACACGTCTAAATGAAGACAGAAAACTCAGCTCTAGTGGTGATGATGATGATAAGTGGCAGTCAGGAAAAGGACAGGGTTGCTGCTCTTTCAGCTCTATGCCATCCCAAATAAAGTTACTTCCCAGAGACTGTATCAGAGAAACAGTCTCACATTTGGAATTAAATGGAAGAACTCAGAGCGAGCAGTAGAAGTTTGTATTTATACATCATCAACCATATGGAAAAATATAACTGAAACTGTGGCCATGTATATATTAATGGAGTACAAACCAATAGAAGCACAACTCTAGAGGATACTGAGGCTCTGACATCCACACAACATATTTCAGTGCTCTGTTTTTATGTAGAACTAATTCTTGTCTGGTATCACAGGCTGAATGCCCATTTGCAACTGGAGAGAATTAGGTCCCACTTCTGGTTTAGTTTCAGACAAAAGGAATGCTGCTCAACTATTCTAACACATTCAACGATGTGAATGAAAGCATGGTGAGGGAGATGTAAAAACTGCTTCAAAAGCGCACACATGATTCAAACTCAGACACTGATGTAGACATATCTTGTGTAAGTTGATGCAATCTTTCATAAACATGAAGAAAAGTAAGGGTAAGAACAAAATCCTGGACGCTCACAGAATAAATGAGAAGAAAGAAAGATGAGGATAATATGTTAGAGCCATAAGAAAATGTCTGGGTATGTAGAAGTAAGATAAAGATGTCTAGTAGGATGAGAAAAAAAAAATAATAAAACACTAAGGCAATATGGAGAAGGACCACAGTGAAGATTCCTGAAACACAGTCAAGACAAGAAATTGGATGCCTGCGTGATGGCAGTGTAGACATGGAACCGCAGATATGGATGCCTTGCAACTGTCAAGAAAAAGCTGTACAGTTCCTTGCTCCCTATGGATGAATGTGCTTTAAAAAAATGGTGGGAAAAGAAAGCTTTACTCCCAAACCTCCTCTTCTGTCTGGAAGATTTTCAAACAAACACTCCTAAACTGCATTTTGTAAAGAATCATGTATGCAATAAGCATAAACTGAGGATGGTAACATATAATACTCACCACTTTTGCATCCAGAGCTACCTGAGCAAAGCCTTTTCGATTTCCCCACATGAGTTGATAACTTTCATCACTAAATAGTGCTTCTCTGACTCCACCTGGTGAGATGGACACCAAGTGTCCGTTCTTCAGTGCAGCGAGACACTCCTCCCTTGTACCTGGCATAACACCCGTCACTCCCAATAATAATTTAAGTCCTGTAATAAATCACAAATTCTGTTTGCACGTAGGAAAAAGATTACAGCTAAATGAAAATCTAATAGCTATATATTTAGACTAAGGCAAATTTGTATGAAGGAAGTAAAATACCTACAGAGTATTCTGTGTATATATTATATATATATATATGAATATATATATTTAGCAAAATGACAAGTACATGACAGTGTTTCTGCCCAAATGTTACAAAGATGAACCAGCTTATCAGGAGGATCTTAATAAACTAATGACTCTACATGCTATTTTCCATAATTATCAAAACATCGGCATGCAACTGAAACTTGTGCATCATAGCTAGAAATCTGAAAATAAACATCTATTCCTCCCTCCTTTTTCAATATAGAAAAAATATTTCAGCACAATAAAGTTTACTACAAAAATAAATACTTGCCAAGCAACAGTTTTTACTATTCTTTTAAAACGTGATGTTTAAGATTTTAAACATTGAGGTTTTGGCTTGTTAAATTGAGTATTTTATGGTTAAATTGCAACCTATGTAGATCAAATTGGACTGCTGTATGACTCAAGATGCATGAATGGCAGAAGTTAGCAGGGCAGTTTCAGCACTGCATGAACTGTTAGGTGAATCTTCTTCCTTTGTTTCTGTAACTGGGATTTCGCCAACAGACAGACTGAGAAACACAGAAGCACTCTATGCTTTCTTATATTCACATTTTAAATCTATCAATTCAGAACTCCCATAGAGAGCAAATGAGAGTTTCCCCAGTCTTCAAATTCACTGTTCCAACAGCATGGTTTATTTTTATAAATGTAAACAACTATGAACTGCCAAAACTAGTGTGTAGCACTGCAACTTTGACAAAAGTCTGTAACGGAAACTTTGGAAGACCATGGAAAACACAGTGCCACATTTTGTAATTTAATTGTATTTAATCTTATTCAAGGCATCATACTTCATAGATCTTTCTGTCAAAGTCAGATGCTGACTTTGTTTAATTTCTTTGTGAACTCATATATTCCTGTTTTAACTCATGTATTCCTGTTTCATCCTGCACCAGAAATGCCGTATCCTTATTAAGTGAGTATGTACTTCCTTTGCTTGGCCTCAAAACTTTTGCCTGTTAAGAATTATATCTATCACATGAACATATTATCACTTCTTATTTCCTTTTTCCAGGTAACAGAATTTTATATCCCTCAGTCATGCAAGACTTCTGTCCTATGTACTAGCTCTTCAAAGGAAGCCATGCCAGGGTTCTGATCATCCTTGTCCCTTTTTGTGTCTTTATTACTGAGCAGCTTTTCTGAGATGGGGAGACGAGAATTCCACGCAGTACTCAATGCATGTGGGCACCATGTGCATTTTGAGTACATAATGGTATTTTCTGTTTCTTCTTCTTCTTCATGGCAACTGCTGAGACTTAAGCTGACATACTCCTAAAGTGATCTACAAAATTTGAAGCATAATTACATGATTATGTGTTTAGACTTGCTTTTCTTTCATTCTGCACTGCATTATAAAGGATACTGAGTTTCATGTGCCATTTAGTCAGCCAATGATTCAGTACTGGTAGATAACTGTATTCTCTGTGTGGGCTTTTACTGCCTTGAAAAGAAAATGGCCACTACAAAGTTTTGTCACCTCACTACTGATCTAGATTATGGTTATTTTGAACAATATAGGTGCCAACACTGATCTTCATTGGTATACCTGGTGAATTCTGCTTCTTTGTGAAAAGAAACTATTTCTTTCTACCCTTTATTTCCTACCTTTCATCCAGTTACTCATTCACAAGACGACTTCTCCCATAACTGTAATTAATCTGTCAGACTGAGGTCCAGCATATGCTCATGAGCATTCTTTAAAGAACCAATCTGTGAAGTGCAACATTTCTCTGCAAAAAGTAGGTAAGTATGGTAGAGCAGGAGAAGGTTAGGGAGAAGTTTCACTCAGTCTATTATTTTTAGCCACATTTTCTACTAATGCAGCAAATGGAGAGGCCTAATCTCCATTATTTGTGATCTTTTTTACCAGATGCCTTTTGGTAGCCTTCTTATAGGTTGACACCATATTTGTCACCTTCTGTTCCTCTAGCATGAACATAACTCAAGCAGTATGTTATGTCCACATCAGCAGTCCAGAAATTGCACAGCTGAGAGTGTTGCTTGGTCCTGATAATAGTTTACTATACATTTGTAATAAGAATCTGTGCTACGGACACTTCAATTTGAAACAGTACCTTCTCATCTACCCCTTAAAAAAGAAGTCTCCTTTGCAACATTCTGCTAAGCTTTATCTTCCTTCAGGGGTCCTCTTAAAAGCCAATTATTTCTTGATGACTTCATGCTTCTGGTGTATTTAGTACTACACAGTATTTATTACGTATGTGTTTAGCAAATTCTTGTCATCTTTCTAGAGGCCCATTAATGTGTTCTTGCATCAAACTTGCTTGTTGTCTTTGTCTTCAGTGTTTGGACACGACTTCCTTTTCTGAAGAATGTCCTTCTACGTTTAAATGGCTTCCTTTGCTCTTTTATTATTACAATAATTTTTCATATAAGCGGTATAACAGTGCTTTAAATAATCTTTCTGATATTCCTTCTGGATGCTCCTTCTTTATGCCTTGCTTTTCTTAAAATTAATGAAGTTTGCTTCTCCATATATTCTTTTTACAAGGGAATTATTTATTCCTCAGTCTACACTGTGTTCAGTGTATTGTGGTGGACAGTATTACAGAGCTCTCTGCAACAGCAGAATCTTCAAAGAAGTTTTGTGTCCTACTCCAGGCTTTGATCAAAAGATAGATTTGATGTCATACCCCACTGCAATGGCTACTCAGTGTAGAGGTCAAGTAAGTAACTGGTACCCATTTACTGGGCTCTTTCACACTCATAGCCCATTGCTGACCAGCCAGCACTAGGTCAATATAGTCCTATCCTACACTTTCTACTGAGGCATGACATTTCATCCCAAAGGGATTATATAATGTCTGTTTGTTGGCTTTGGAGGGTCTACAAGTGTTTTTATGACCTTTCACTTAAAAGAAAGGATATTCTACCGTATTTGCCCTTCTGCATCCAGCCGCTTTTAGTTTAGAAGTCTAAAATCAGTCTTTTACTTTAAAAGCACCCTCAAAAGTGTAATAAATGTAAATTTCAACAAAAACAGCAACAGGTTGAGTGAATCCAGGATGCTTAAATACAAGAGAACATGTTCTTACCTGGTAAACGAAAGACAAAATGATCAGCTACTGACAGACAAAGCCTTTTCTTCCAGAGAAACAGCCTAGACAAAAAGTAAAGGTAGTCTACAGGAATAGCTCCATGGTAGTACACAAGAATACCCGGTCCTTCCGGTAGGTTTTCCACACCATGAAGCTCATAACCTGTTTGGGATGGAAAGCAATACACCTACAATGATAACTGTAAATCATCTGGAGATTTAAAGAAAACTGTTTACTATCTTTGTTGAAGAGAGTTGTGAAAGCCCCTGCAGTAGCTTTTAAAAGAATTAAATTCTGGATGGAGCTTTTGGACAATAGCAAAGAGAAAACCCCTCAAACACCACAGGTTATCAGTAAACTAATTTGTTGGTCAATTTAATCACTAGATCAAACCTGAACCTGATATTTTCCCCAGTGAGGGGACTAAATTAATGATTTCCCATTAGGAACTTTTCACAGTCCAAAGTACAAAAACTTGAAAGAAAATTACTAGACTGTGTGAAGCCACTTCATCGGCAGAATGGGGCAAACAAGCAGTCGGGATGCTTTCCTGAAATATAGAAGTATTAATATTCATTCATTCTGTGTCAGGCAGAATGAAAAGTTTGGGATTTAAGAGAATAAAAAGTTTCTCTGGTTGAGATGTTTAAGTCCAAACCAGAATCTGTACAAATCCCAAAGAGAGGTTCTCCACAAGAGTTAAATGTATTCATTTCACAGTAGAAGGGAATTTCCTCACAGACATGGACTTCTGTAAATCCCTCTCCTGGATTTTCCTACATTTGATTTAGGTTTTAGGTGGAGCCAGACTAGGAGGCTAATATATACAAAGGCTTGGGAAAGCCACAGATTCCACCTAAGAGCTCTGTTCCACCTTGTCTGCCTTCACCTCCATCCCTGCTACAGCTCCTATCATGAGCCATTTGGGGAGAAGGATGGGGATGGAGCAGGCAGTAGAGAAAGTTTTATACTGCAGTATGTTCAAAGATTAAAAGAAAATGCTGTGAGGAAGGATAGCATCATAAATAGCAACCTGTTATTCTTCATCCTTAGGGCAGCAAAGCTAAGTCTTGCTGGTAGTCTTAAACTACATCTGTGGGAAGAACAAGAGCCTAGCATGTGGCTGAGGATTTTCCTAGGGAGCAGGGTGTGTTGGAAGTATCTGAAGGTTAGTTGTATTGAAACTGAAAAGTCAGGTTACTTTTAAATTCTGCCACAGTACAAACTTAAATGTGGTATCTAATAATAATTTGTCCATACAGCTCTTAAAATTAGTTTGATTGTCATAACACAATGTAGGTTTTACCAACTAAAAATATACTAATTACATTTCCAACTAGTTGTGTTTTGACCCTTTACTAAGTGGGTTTTAAAGCAGCTACTAAAGTTTAAAAAAAAAAAAAAATCTGCCTTTCATTCTGCTTATTCTACATTGCAATCAGTCTTGGAAGCAGAAGCTTTTGGGTTAGATGCCATACAAAGTATAGTAAATGTTATTTCTTTGGATCCACTTGAAAGAAATAAAAAAAAACCCACAAAACTTATTTGTGTTTACTATTTATTGTAATTCAAAGTTTCAGACAAATCATATCATACTTACCATGCCATATTCTTGCATATATATCCCAAAAGCTTGCTATAGTTTTCCTTGCACTATTCCAGACATCACTCAAGGGATCTGCTTTTACCTCACCATTCCTCTGATATATTAAAAGCAAAATATTACTAAGGTAAATGCAAAAGAGGATTGTTAAAGGAACTATAAAAAAAACTAATATTGTACTCATTGTCAGTGAGACAATGACCATATGAAAAAGGTATTTCTTCAGAAACTCCAGAACAGCCCATTCTTCCAGTACATAGGCAAGGCAGCTTAGGTCAGTCATCAGTATCTGTCCTGAAGCGCAGAAATCTTTTCTACCTATCATGTCCTGCATGGAGGAGAAAAAAAAAAAAAAAAAAAAAAAAAAAAAAAAAAAAAGCAAGCTCTAATTTCTCTAATCATGGCAGTTTCTCAGTTTAGGAAAAACGTTTTCTGTAGATATATCTGATGCCTATTTTGGTGCAGCACAGAGTCGAATATTTTGTCTCTCTCTGTCATACTAAGATAGCTGCTGGCAATTGCCATCCACTACTGCCTGTGAGGGGTGATGAGATTATCGTATGTATTTATGGACCTTTGTTATTCAGCCAGATAATAGGGGCTGAAAGGACAAGAGCTGGAGTCCAAGGAAGCCTCAGGATCCATGCAACATGGCTGATCAGATGATTTCTCTGTCTAAGTATGGCTTACTTTTTAGAAGCTCAAAAAAGGGCAAGTGGTAAGTATTTTTGGCGGAATTAGCCAAGAAAATTGCAACCAGAGGTCTGGGCTCTCACAGTCCTCTGCAGAGAGTCCAACCTGGGCTTCTGGTCTCTCTCTGGCAGCAGCCAGCAGTGAGGAAAACAAACAGCAGAGTGAGCAGCTGAAGAGCTGGCAAGCAGAACCTGGGCAGCCATGGCTTCTTCCTGAGACCTGGAGGTGCCTGGGGAAAGCAACTCTTCACCCCTCATCCACATAGCCATGCCAACACACCCTTCTTTCAGATCTTCTAGCCCTGGCAAAGGCTATGTGGACTTCATGGCCCTTAGTGACTTGTTTGCCACCTGCAGCTCCCTAGTTAGTCTGTTGCTACAGCTGACCCTGCCTGCCTGCCAGCAAGTAGTGGTTTCTCTGGAATGCAAGAGCACTCCAGCATTGCTGGCTGATCTTAAGATTTTTAGCATTAGCCAGAGATTTAAATGCCAAAATCAGTATTCAGTAATCCATAACTGAATACAGCTTTTATTGGCCTCAATCAGGTTACTACTTGTTTAACGAGTAAATTTTTCTTCTCCAACACCAGAACAAGTACCTACAAGAAACAAATTATAATTGCCATAGTCAGTGCCAAGATCATAAAGTACAGCAAGTCCAGACTTTTCTGACTTTATATATTCAACTGTGTACTTATAAGAGCAAACGTTTGATACACTACCCACTACACTTTTGGTTTTCTTCTGTGAAGCGCTGGGTAGAATACAGGGGTGAACTGGTGTAAAGCACAGCTCTGTTCAGAATTATGGATGACAAGGAGTACAGCAAAAAGCAAATTCCAAAAGCAGACATGAACAAGCACGAGACTCTAACATGCAGTAAGGCAAGCAAGCCCCATGTCAAACTCTGCCAATGTAACACCTATAGATTTGGTCTCACACACTCCAGTCAAATCTGTCTTTATCTCAAACTCCACGCTGGGCACCAAAAAGGACTGTCATGGTTTAAGCCCGGTAGGCAGCTGAGCACCACACAGCTGCTTTCTCACTCCCCCCTGCAGTGGGATGGAGGTGAGAATCAGAAGGGTGAAAGTGCAAAAACTCATGGGTTGAAATAAAGACAGTTTCATAGGTGGAGCACAAGCTGGAAGAATAGTAAACTAGGAGCTCAAAAGAAGCAAGCACTGTATTAAATGTTGCTCAGCACGGCACAAACAAACAAAACCAATGTGATGAAGAACATCATGAGAATTAATACAGAATTGTTTATATCCTGATGACCGGTACCTAAGATACAGAAAAACCTGGAAATGTCATTGAAAAGAGATTTTATCGATAACATGAAAAAAATAAAAGAAATAATCTGCATGATTCAGATACTAAAATCCCTGCTTAGAAGGTGCATAAGAAGGACAAAGCTGATGGTGTCATGCTAGTCTATATAAAAAAGTTATTAATTGTTAAAAGATTCTGATAAGAGCAAGGACGACAAATCCTCAATGCCTGCAAAGCATGCTGTGCTGACAGAGGCCAGAAGGCCATGTTAAGGTCTTCCTTCAGGCTACTGAATCAGAAACATTGAGCAGTACTTGGAATAATTCGTTCAGCCCGCAATATAGGGTAAAGAAAACGAGTGGATTTTGCACCATTACGGGGGCTTCATACTGGGAACACAGACTACTACAGCCATAGAAAAACTGACGTGAAATTGCAGGTAAAATGTTGATACCCATAGTAAATGTGGCAGTAATAACTTCCATATGATATGGGGATTAATTTAGATATATTGATCACTGACAGGAACCTGGTGGTCAAGAGATTGTATCATCACGCACCTAACATTCTCTCAAAAAACACCTGAAATTCCCTCTGGCCTCTGGATAGTCATTTTCAGTAACTCTTGAAAGACTAGGGAAATCCAGAGAACTGGAAGAGTATTCAGAGTCCCCAAACACAAGTAACTGCACACTCAGCAGCCAGATAAATTGCTGGCAAGATTACTGAAAAGATGACATGTGATTAAGGTAACTGATGCCACTCATTATTCTGTGGGAAATGGACCTTGTAAAAAAATGCATCTCCATTCTTTGAGGAAAATAGAGGCTTAATAGCTTGTGCAGGTGTCATGCATACACAGTTTTACTAGGGGCTTGTGAAAGAGTCACTTTAAGCCACATGTGAGCTGCTACCTTCCTCCAGCCCTTCACCGTATGTTCTCACCACCAGCTTGGTCTCCAACAGGATCAGCTGGATCCCTGCTAACAGGATGACTGTGAAAATGCTGGCAGAAGCAAAAACATTCTTGGCCCAAACTTAAGTTGGTCTATGTGGATTATGAAAGTATATTACCAATGCCACTTAACATTTTGATTAAAAAATAAAGCTCTTTAATTCATTTTATATGTGCTTCATTTTATGTCATCAACTGACGTGACAAAAAGAATCTCCATCAGTGGTGAAATCCCTGTCAAATGAGAATTGAGTCTACGTCCTACATTATTAGGAATTTTCTCCTAATATTAATAGGATGTTTACACTGATCAAGATAAACAATGTAACATCCCACTGATACCTCTTCCTCCATCCCAATTTTATGTAACAGAAAATTATTTGCTGGCTGGAAAACCACTACACTTAACATTGTTTGCTCGCAGACTACAACATAAATGAACATAGTAACATTCATTTCTGATTTTAAGTTCAATGTAGACACTAAAAAAAAGGCTTTAGAAAGAAATTAAAATACTTAAATGTGCAAAAGTATTTTTTTAGAAACCTCCAAAACAGGTATTAACAGTACAGATTTGACTAAGGACATATGAAAGTCGTTGGGTACCCATGGAGTGAGTTAACTTTACGTCAGCTAGCTGGGTGGGTGGGATACAAGCTAAATCAGCATCATTGCAGTTGAATCCAAGCCAGCGTGGAGAAAGAGTAAATGCTCAACTGATTGAGGAAAAACTAGAAACAGCATGGCTTTTTCTGGAAGTTGTGTGCTCACCCAGATTTCAGTTCCTGCTCCCACACTTCAGTTATACACTACCCCCAACATTGCATAAGGACAGAATGAACTCTGATCACTGAATCCTGACCCTGGTTTTTGGACCATATGAGTCCAAAATAGTCCAACATGGTAAATGCATCCATCTGTACTGCTAGTATAATATCAATGGACGACAACAGAACAGAACTTCTACTTTTGCGATGTTCTACTGGCTCTCTCTCACCAGGCCCTTGCTGAGACCACAAATACAATTATGAAGCATCCTTTCTATCAAACACCATATAGAAAATTATTACATAACTATTTGAATGACCGTTGTAAGGCTGTTACTAAGGCCATCCTTGATTACGCACTGAAAGACAATGCAAAAGTGTTACTGCAACATGTTTACTCTTAACTGCTCTGGTTTGACCCAAGTCTCAAAATTTAAGATAGAAATTTATCTTCTGCTTTTATAAAATCTGAGCCAAGAGCAGCTCCCATATTCCTCAATACTGAACATCCCATAAAAGGTTAACAAGTGAGTATAGTGTTTTGTGAACAAACATTTTTTGTATGTATTTTTCTCATCTCATCTAGTGATGGACTTGAAGCATTACTGTTCTGAGTGATTTCATTGGTCTTCTACAGAACAACATCTGTGTTGACATGCAAAATGTTTGTTTGGGCTCCACCTACAAAGCATATCGAATTCCAGAGTAATAGCTTTATCTACAGTGTAAAATTACAGGTGATGTCAGAGGGAAACAGAACTAATGTCTCCCTTCATAAAGGGGAGCTCCGCTTCCAACAGAAGCCTCCTGTACTACAAGTCACTCAGATCCTGAGCTCCTGCTGAAGCGTCAATTGTTGATAAGGACAATCTTATCAACACTATAATTCCAGGGAACGGAAGTGCAACAAAACTGTCAGAAGAGATCCATGGCATCAAAATTCAAACCTTGTAGCTGACTTTCAACCATAACTGAAGAGTAGATAGTCTTGGTCTTGTTTTTCACCTGCTTGTTCTTGGCAGGAGGTTTAGTATAGTGGGAAGATGAGTGTCAAACAGCTGGAAACTCTTCTACAGAGTATTTTTTGACACCTGCTTTCTTGTGGCTGGCTCCTACTTTCTCTTCTGTCAAATTCAACTGCTCTGTTTCACAAGGGGAGTGATCTAACAGTTACAACTCTTGCATCTTGCCTTTCAATGTAAATGAAGTTCCAATTTTACATTTCCCAGATTTTTTTTTTTTTTTTTTTTTTTTTTTTTTTTTTTTTTTTTTCAGTTTCACAGAAAATTACTTTCTTTCTGGTCTCACACTGTCACCACCTTCCATAAACCCGCCCATCTTGTACGGTGCTATGTTTCTACAGCTTGCTCTACCTTCATGCCCCGTCCCCCAGCTTGCCGTGGCTACTCCCCCTTTTGCACACACCGAGGGTACCCAGCCCGGAGTGTTAATTCCCATTTATTCTCTTACAGCCTCAGCAAATACGACTGACTGAATTACCACTCGGGTTTGTTTCACCTCGTGGAAACGAGGAACCCTCCCCGGCCGGGCATCAGCGCTCCGCTCGGCTTCCAGAGAGGCGGCAGGTAAGAGCTGGAAGAGCGGGCTTGGGGAGCGGGACCTGCCTTCCGTGGTGG